TCACTGGTTTATTGGTAACAGAGATACGTACTCTGAGCCCTCAGGAAAACACCAAGCTTGTCCATTTATCCCATTAACTTTTGTTTTCCGTGGCTTAAGCAATGCTTTGGGAACATGTATCAGCCCAAAGTTGTCACCAGCACCACACAAGCTAAGGCAAGAATGGGCAGTGAGGCTGAGGCTGAGGGCACTGTCTGTGCACATCTCCAGCCAGAGAGGAAGAAAGCTGCAGGGGCCAGGAAAAATCTCCTCCACAAGCGCCCTGACAGCAGAATCTTCACTTCCACCTCAAGCACACCCAGTCCCCTCCTTCCCAGCTAAGCCACCAGTGTGCAAAGCCCCCGGCAGGGTACCACAGTGCAGAGAGAAAGCAACTTGAGGCAAGTTCTGGGCCCGCTATGTCCTTCTCACCTAATTAAGCTTGCACCCCTGGGAAACCATGAGGATTCACAACCATCCTACGCCAAGAGCAATACCTAGCAAACCGCACATGTTTGATGAAAAGCAACTCATTTCTAATTCTTATTTCCAGAGCAGGGTATGAACTTGAAATAACAGTACTCAAAAAGGCACAACAAAGACTCAACAATAAAAGGAGTGGAAACCACCACTGAGGAGGAGCAAGGACATGGGCCAAATGAATGTTCAAAAATAAGACTGAAAAAAAAAAAAAGACTTGAAGATATGCGTTGCAGCCAGGTACACTGGCACACATCTTGTAATCTCAGCACTCCAGGAGGCTCAGGCAGAAGAACCCTAAGTTTGAGCCTCGCTGGGGCAATTTACTGAGTGAGCAAGAGCCTTTCTTAGAATTTAAAACTAAGAAAAAGAGCTAGAATGCAGCTCAGTGCAAAGGCCCTGGGCTCAATCCCTGGTGTTGAAAAAGATGGGGGTGGAGGCCAGTACCACTGTGGCAGCAGGTAGCGAAGACAGCTGTGGAGGAGCCATGACTGGCAGTGGGCTGAGCAGCAAGGGGCAGGTCTAGGGAAGACCTCCCCCAGGAATTTGTCTGCTCACAGAGATACTTACTTTGTCTCTCACTAGAGCTACTGTATCTGCAGCATAGAGGAAACAAGCCTGAACGCTGCTTCCTTCACTAGCCAGCTCCATTTGCCCAGGGACTGCCTTTGACGGCTGTGAGCTGCCCAGAGATCCCTGTGTGATCAGCACTGCTTCCAGAGGGCCTGCAGGTCCAAGGGAGGACATATAAGGGCTCTGAGCCACGGAGCTGCCAGGCGGGGAGCAGAGCAGGTGACAGCACAGTGCAAAGCCTCCAGCTTGGCTTGAGTTCACAAACCCAAGCTGCCTGGGTTTCAAGTTCCCCTTTGGACACACAGTGGTGGCGTCAACTGTACCAAGAAGGGGCAGAGAATCGGACTGGTTATGTGAATGGGGAAACAGCTTCCCCTCTTACCCTGGGGCTCAGAGCATCCTCGAGATCCACTTCCACTGGCTGTCAAGGGGAGGCCCAGGCAGATGGCAGCAGGACAGGGTTGCCCAAGGGCCATGCTTGCCCAAGGGCCACGCTCCTGAGTTAGTGCACACCTTCCAGACAGGCAGCTCAAGGGACAATAAGAGGGGCTGGTTCTCCATCTCCTCCCACCTCCAAGAACTTGGCTCCAGCTGCATAAAAACTCAAACCATGGCATTACTTGGATAATCAGTTATAACAAGCAAAGGCATTACATATCTCAGCCTTCAGGTCACATAAACACAGTCCTCTGTCACCATCAGGAAAATAAATGTCCGGCAATAACACATCTTCGATCTCATGTGCTGGCCCCTCTGAAGTTCTTTTAATTTTCTGACAAAACAAGGGACAGCCCACTGACACTCTCAGGTTCAGTTTCAAATGAGAAACCACCTGTGTCCCCAGAGGGGTGGCCTCCCATCTTGTGATAAGTGAGGGCCCAGGAGCTACCTACTGGCTCCTGATGGGCTCTAGGCCACCAGAACAGGTCAGGGAGGTAGGTGCAACCATCCTCATGGAACAATAGGGAGGCTGCTCCAAGGAACGTGAAAGAGGCAGGCCCTGTGGGCAGCTCTGAACAACATAAAGGCAGCAAGCCAAGCCTAGGATCTAGAGATCATGGAGACAGCTTCCCTCCATCCACAGTAGCAGCCCCATCCCTGACAGTTGCCAGGGAGGGAGGAAATCAGGGAGGAAAGAGGCATGGGGACTGGGAAGACCCTGAGGGATGCCAGCACCAGGAAGGGTTGCAGGCATTAAAGGGCCATGGCTGCAGGCCAGCTCGAGACCAAAACTCTGGGTGCATGAGATTGTCTCACTGTAGCAAGTCCCATGGGTGAAGAGTGATGGCCAAGAAACCCAGAGACACACTTCCAACAGGAAGGGCAGGGCAGTACGACAGGGCAATGTGGTCCCAAACTCTCCTCCCAGCCTTCCCTAACTCCTGAAGAAGTACAAGGTGCTCACAGACCCCATGGCTCTGCTTGGCAGCACAAGGGGAAAGGAAGCCACAGCTACAGCCACCCACCACTGCCTCGAAGTATCCCAGGTCACTGTCTGAGAACAGCGTCACACTAAGGGCCACCTGAGGCCCCAGGCCAATCTCTGGGCCAGTACCACAAGAAGCAGGTGTCTCTGCCAGGCCACACCCAAAGTAGCCTGCTCCAACTGCTCCCAGCACCTTTTCTTCCTGCCTATGTTCCTCCAGACACAGCCCCAGGAAAAGCACAAAGTCAAAGGGTAACTACCCTGTTCTATTATGAGCCCAGAAAGGTGACTGACCCTCCCGCTTCAAAGACATTTGTAAAAGAGCCTTTGTATGAAGTGGCTCATCACACCCTTCCTTAGAGGGTGTGATGCTGCTATCACACTTCTCAGGAGACTGGACCCTCTTGATGGGAAATGCCATCACAACTCCTGGGTACTGTAGTGGCCTGAACACACATGGCTGCCGAAACTTGCCAAAACAACAGAAAAGACATTTTTCTTTGCTGAGCCCTGAGGTCAGGGGCCCAGAGAGGATGGGGAAGAGTAGCCATGGGAAAGGCAGCAACAGGAAAGGTGCAGGAGCCAGGAAACACATAGGCCCATGAGGAGAAGTACCAACTCTCCCGGATTGACAGAGTCCCAGAAATGCCACAATCCATGCCAAAAATCCCAGTTCCTTCAATGTCAATGAGGAAGTGTCATCCCTGGGAGAAAGCCCCTGGATGTAGCACCTTGAGAACAGAAAAGACTAAGGGACAAGATAATGCAGGCCCAGCACCCACCTAGCCCCCAAGACACTGTCATTGAAGTCCTCAGTAAGATAAGAGGAAGTTATCAAAAAAGGATTGCAGAAGGAAGAGGCAGGGCATGAGAACTTGCAAAGGAAAAAGACCACCTGCAGACAGGCAACCAAGTCACAGTCACAGGCCACCCTAGAACAGGTGACATGAAGCATGCAAAAAACACCAGACCCAGAGTCTTGGCAGGAAGACCGGCAGGCTGAGGGGCTCTGCCTTCATTAAGCAGGGCCCCAATCTTGGAAGAGAGAACCTTAAACCTAGAGTAAATATCCTCCCGAGGCTGCTGGGATCAGCTCCCTGACACCAGCACTGCATGGCAGGTATAAGACTCCCAAGACAGGAACTGAAGGAAGAAATGCAAGCTGTATGACGGGCAGAGTGAGGGAGTGTGGGTTCAAGCAGCAGCACCTGGCTGCAGAAGAGGTGGAGGCCTCTAGGAAGGATAGTGGGGTATGAAGACAGCCCTGAGTATCACTACATGAGGCATGGGGCACAGACACCAGCCTCTGGGGCACAGAGGGGGTGCTGTGGCCAGAGGGACTAGGCACTGGCATCCTCCAACCTGGTGAGTGCAACGGAAGTGGTGCTGGATTCTCAGCCTGGCCTCACTCTTAGGGCCCTGGGCATAGGAAAGCTATGACACTCAGGGAAGGAGGCACACCGGAGAAGCAGTCCGGGCCACTCCAGCGCAAGGAGTGGGGGTGCACCACCGCTAGCATCTGCCAGCACCCACAGACAGAAGTGCTGCCTGAGATCCTGATTCCAGGAACGAGGCAGATCCAGGGTGGACATCTGAAGCCACCCAGTTTGCAGCAGCTGGTACCCCAGCAGGCCGAACGGGAGGGAACGGCGCTGCTGTGACGAGACAATGCCACTATTTTTGACTCTGACTTATGTAAGTGACTGGGCCAAAAGTAATGAAAAAAATTTTAAAGCATTAAATATAAAAGTGAAGCCAAGTGAATTTTTAACTCTTACATAAGCAGGGAAACCCAGTATGCCCATCTAAAAGCCTATCCATCGGCCTCTGGGGCAGACAACCCCCTTCCAGTGGCTTTAGGCGTGACCAGAAGCCTGACACCATCATCACATCCTCCTTTCCTGTCCCACAGTGATCCTGCACTCCAATCCGCACTGCAGCCGGACAAGTAGTTTGAAGAGGGAATAAACTGTCCCCAAAATTAGGGACCTGGATTATTTTTAAAGAGGGATATGCGGGTGTGCAGAGTCGACTTCCTTGGCAGCACCACCGCCTCAGCCTGCTGGGTGCCGGCCCTGGGCATGCTCCAGCAGGTCCCCGTGATGGGCGGCAAGGCTAGCTTTCCCCCACCACTCAGCTCTCTGCTTCTCTCAAGAGACTAGTGGGAACGGTGGGGTGTGGAGTGAGAGGCACACAGGCATAGGAGGCCATGCCGGCCCTCCCTGAATGGCACACAAGCACCGCACCTCCTGGTGCACATTTCAGAATAACTCCTGTGTTCACCTGGCACTAGTACACTAGGGCTCTGAAGGGAGTCCGTACATGTCCCTACTACCCTCCTGCCAGAACTCTTCCAGAGGCGGCTACACACAGTATCCGCATCCTGGCCACAGGTAGCGCTGATCCCACACGGCCACTGCCTCTGGACAGTACTGACAGGGAGCCAGTAGGTTCCATGGGCGGCTGGCTGGGCCCCTGCTCAGGGAGGCTGGGCTGCGCTCAGTGGGTGCAAACACATGAAGCGTAGCTGCGGGCGGAGGAATATCAGGTGCATCTCTACGCCCCGAGGGCTCAACTCCTACACTTAAACCCCTCCCACTGAGCAGCCAGCTCCAGTTTCACCAAGCCAGCCCGGCGTGAGAACACATCCTGCTCCCAGCGCCAGCACCGCGCAGAGACCTGCATCTCACACCAGCCGTACACCTGGTAAGTGCTCTCGTTTCTTCTCAGATCCGAGTTCTCTTTCCAAACTGCCCTCCAGAGAGTCCTAAGTTAGCTGGCTGTGTGAACCGCTTGCCCGGTTTTGCTCTGCCTTGCTCTGCACCCTGAGGACGAGTCAGGACCAGCAGGTGTGTGTGCTGCCTAAACACAGACCACACACTTTATTTAGGGGTGGCGTGAATAAGCTTATTCGGAAATTAAGTCCTCAATTCTGCCATAAAACTCATCAAAGATAAACCAAAATGTGTATATGGTTTTTAAACTCTTCCTTATCTTAAAAGCTACAATAAATTTCAACATTAAATGATAAAGTATATAATATACACATATATAACATATTCATATAAGAGTGTATATTAAAGACTATATATATAGAATATATAAATATATCCCATATATGTTTAAACAGTTGCTTACTTTCTCATTTAATTTTTTTAAAGTTTAAAATAAGTACTGTTTTGATATAACCTTTTAAAAAAAAAAACTTAACCAAGAAGGATAACTTTTAGTGGTTAAGGTTACACGCGCACTTACACACACTTGGGCGCTCACACACGGGAGTGTTTTTCCTTACATGGAACTTCTTCCAGAAGTCTGTGGGAAAACAATTACTGACCACATTATTGGCCAAGCTTGACCCAAGTGAGATTTGGGCAGCCTCTGTCCACCCGGGCCCGAGTCCGCCTGCACTAAAACAAGGACTCCAATGTTTTGCAATGTCTGTTATGAACAGGAGGTGCTGGCACTACACAGGCATGACAGAGGGCCTCTGGCTGTTTTCTGGTTCCTTTCTTCCAAACCATACTCCCAAATGCTGCCTCCTCCCTAGGACATGGTCGTCCAAGGCTTCCCCTTCATTTTAGAGAACAGAAAGCTGGGAGGAGCAGCCGCCAATCACAGTGAAGGCTCAACTGGAGAAAAACTCACAAATCTAGTTCTTACGACACCCCAGTGGGAGCCGACAATGGCGTGTCCTTGAGTGGTGCAATAATGCCACATCACAGGTGGTAATTACAGCATGCCCTTCAGGACGTTCCACCTGCAAGGCTCAGTGCCAGACAGCTGGACACCACAGCAGTGTCAGGGCTCTGCCTCCATGCAGAGGCCGACAAGCAGGACGAGCACCTCGGTGGCCTGGCATGGCTGGCGCTGTCCTATAAAGCCAGGCTATAATTACCTCCACTGTGCCCTAGCAAAGTCCTTAACAAAACTTCCCCTGCAGTTTGCTAAGTTCAAGACCCTCCGCTCTTATGGTCCCAACAGGCAACTCGTTAGGTATCCACACCTGGAGCGGCTGAGTGCAGTACTTTATAGTCAAGATAAACAGGAGCTAGGGCCAGCTGAAACCTTAAGCTGCTCAGAGCCCTGTCCAGGCAGCTGTGCCAGGCTAGGGCACTTTGGTAGGATAGCAAACTCAAGGAAACTTCCTGAAGCACAGTGAGTAGCAGAGCACGGTGGGCCTGTGAAACACTAGGTCAATGGGACATCAGCACACACAGAACAGCCAGGTCCGCTCCAGCCAGACCCTGTACACCTCACCGTTCTCACGTCCTTTAGTGTAGACACTGTACACCCCAAGTAGGAGCATGGCCTTGGCCAATCAGCAGGGTGTGTCCTAGGACAGGCAGAGAGAGGGTCTGCCGGGAGGCTATGAGGTGCCACCCAACCATCTCCTACCCATAATGGGGAAAGCAAGGGGGCCAGACAGAAATAGGGTACCAGGCAGAGCACACCTGGGCCCACCCAAATCATCAGCTGCACAGTCCCAAGGCAGAAACACTGCCAGCCAGGATAGGGATAGGGACAGGCAAGAACATCTTTCCTCACCTTTGGGAAAAAAACGCTGCCTCTGAATGCAAATTCAAACTTACTGTAAACAAAGGGTTTTAATGTTTTGGCAATAACATGGTCTTTTTGGACTATGTAACACCAGCAGCTGCCAGTGAGTACAAAGTCCAGCAGGTATAAACTGACCAGACAAGACTGTGTCAGGCCTTTGTGCCCACAGCCATATGTGACTGCCTGCAGTCGCGGCTGTAGGTCAGTTTCTTCATCCTCATAAACCTCACTTGGGTAGGACAGAGAACTCCCAGGCTGACATCATCATTCGAAAGCTTACAAAAGCATCAATTTTACCCCACTTACTTCTCTAGCACCACTGTAGTTTTATAGACAGGTGAGCTACGCCCTCTTACACCTGCCTCTGAGGCAGCTGAGTGTCCTGCTTTAATCAGCAGTTGTGCAACTGGAGAGATCAGTTTATCCAAAGTTACTAAAATAGCAGTGCCTGGGACTTCACTTTATGCACATTCCCTTCAAGCAGTAAACCCTGTAACATACACCCTCACCTCCAAGGATCTGGGCACTAGGAAACCACGCCCTTCACACACTGCCCAGAAACCAAGCAGAGAAGAACAAAAGGGAAAGGTTCAGATGCAGCCGGAGGCACAGGCGTGTGCAATGGGAAGGTGTGCTGATAGGGGGAGTAGTTACTTCCCCATTTATTCTTCTGGGCGATGCTAGGGTAACTTGCACACCCTCCACAGGACCTCAGGGGAACCTGACCACTGTGGGATGTCATCTTCTTCTGTAACATTAGGTAATGCTGCTTGTATGCCTGTCGCCACTTTCTCACATCCCAAGGGGACTTTCTGTCCTCCCAGCACTGGAGGCTCTGTATCTGTGTCCCCCTTGGTATCACTGGGACACAGCTCACACTTGATAAATGTCTGCAACTGTCATCGTGTTGCTCACAATGCGCCCAGAGAATGATGAAATCACCCTTCTCAGATCTGTGCCATGACATACCCTGCGCGGCCCTGGGAACCTGCCTCCCCGTGGTTCCCACGCCTGCGGGACGGGAGCACACTGAGCGTGCCAGCACAAGCCCCGCTGACTGAGCTGGCTGGCCTGCACAGCAGGAAGCGGCCCACTGCCGGAGAGGGCAGGGCGGCCCTGTTCTTGTCACTCTGTAGATCTGCTCCCCAAGGTGCAGCTGAATCCCCGAGAACTACATGTCACTGTTTTTCTTTTAATGAAAAGGTAAAAAGAGGAAAGAAGTGTAGCTGGCGTGGCTTTGACATGGTACCTATAGCTTCTGCCCCTGTACATGGTGAGAGCCCAGGCAGGACCCCAGGAGGGCTGCTCGCCCACACCCCAGAAGGGATCCTCAGCTGACCTTGCCCCAGTTACAGGACAATCAAAACTGTTTCTCATCCCAAATGCATACTGCCTACCACTTCCACTCAAAACACTGTCGCATAGGAGACTTCTGGTACCAGCAGAGCCCTCCTTTCTACACAAACCACTTCTAACAAAAAGTCTTAAAGTTTTAAACTACACTAACAGAAGCAGCTGGGCACTCTTAGGGTAGTTCTTTGTGTTTTTAAGAGATGATCAATAAATTAATAGAAAATCCAAATAAAATTAACTTTCTTATACTCAAGGTATGCAGAAGGAAACCAAGACCTTGCTGAGGCCAGGAGCCTCCCCATCTTTCCAGGGCATATAATCACTGAGTCTAGAAGCTACTGCTTGACATCTTAGTTCCACAGACTGGAGTTTGCAGCTGAAAACAATGCCCTTACATTACTTCCACTAACTTTGTTTTTAAGCTATTTGAAATATCCAGGAGCTGAAGCTCTTTCTCATTCCATGTTGCCAAGTGAATTCAGACACTTGGAAACCTCCCCAGTGGCCTAGGGTGGCAGCTACCCTCTGCTCTCAGCTCTGAGTCAGGAGGTGGAGTGAAGTAAGGTGTGCGGTGGATGAATAGGGGCTGACCTCTACAGAACCCCTGGTTTCTACCTACAAGTGCCAAGAGCCTGAGGTGCAGGCTAGAGGCCCTGCCCCTTCCTAGAGGCTAAAAGTCAAGAGGGCCTCCCACGGTCCAGGTGACACTCAGATGGAGGTCTGTTGGGAGGCACAGTGTGATAGGACAGAGTGGACAGGAGAACGGTCTCTACTTTGATGAGGAGACAGTGCACAGGACACAGCAAGCTCGCCCTGTTTAAAGCTCAGGTTGTTTTAAACAGTCTGGCAACCTAAATGCATCATTTTTGTTTGTATGGAGACAACATAAATTCAACTTGCTAAGACTGGGGTTGGAGCCCAGTGTGAGTACTTCCCTGCCATGAGCTAGGCCCTAAGTTCTGTCCCCAGCTCTGGAAAAAGCTAAGTGCAACTTACTGAGAAAAAGCTGACTTTTTATTTGTGGTTTTGGAAGCAATAGGGTGGAGTCATGTGTTTAAATAATCTTCACTCAGGACACCCACATACAGAACATACCAACGGTGTTGCCGCACAGGCAGGGCAGCCACCAGTCCTCGGCTGAATGGCACAGCATACATAAACTCCCCAAATCCCTAAGATCAGGCCTTGGGGCACTTCAGAGGGAAAGTCTAGATGATGGGATAAAGGCCCTCAAGCCCAGAGAAGCACAGGTATCCTCAGAATTGACACGGGCCTTCACACACTGCACCCTGCCTTGGCCCCCAGGAGATTCCTCCAGGTCAGACTTGGGCACACAGAAAACTCTTCAGGGAGCTGACAGTCAACAGAGCAGGCATGCAGGGAGGCAGCAGCCACAGCCTCCTCACAGGACCTCTGTTTCACCTCCTTCAGGAACCTGACAAGGATTCTGACCCACTAAGCTCCCATCTTGACTCTGCCTCTGTCTGCCCTCTCAGCTCCAGGACCACACGGGTGAGACCTCCTGAGGCTCCTTGGCAGTGGAGCTGGCTTTAAGGAACAGAATTCAGAAAAGAGAGGCGAGACAGGAACTCACCTTCCTAACAGTCACCCAAACTGGACTGAAGAGGAGTCAGCAGTGACCCTTTCACTCAGCCAATTGGAGTCTGTCACCCAACACAGGGGACATGAGTCTTCTCAAAGAGCGGAAACCGAAAAAGCCACATTACATTCCACGGCCACCAGGGAAGCCCTTCAAGTATAAGTGCTTCCAGTGCCCCTTCACCTGCAATGAGAAGTCGCACCTCTTCAATCACATGAAGTACGGGCTCTGTAAGAACTCCATCACACTAGTATCCGAGCAGGACCGCGCCCCCAAGGGCTCAAAGCCTAGTTCGCTGGACCCTCGGCAGGCCCTACCTCTGGAGCCCACAGCCAAGCCAGTCCCTGCCAAGGCACTCTCCCATGGCTTTTCCGGCCTCGACCTGAAGCCACAGCTCAGCCCTGCCAAGGAGGATGCCAAGGAGGACCTGGAACTGCCAGTGCAGGGGGCCCACAGGTGCCCTCAGAGGCCGACCCTGCAGAGGGAGTTGACCCCAGAAGCTACTCTTGGTACCCAGCCTTCTCTGGACAGCGAGATTCGGCCTTCAGCATTCGTTCCAGTTGGGGAGCACAGACTCAAGGGGCCAGACAACACAGAGGTCCCAGAGACACTAGCACTAACCAAGTCAACAGCAAAAGCCACATCTTTCCACACCAAGTCTGCGTTCCACACACCTGGCTACCCCTGGAAAGTGGGCTCCTCGTTCCTCCCAGCTGAGTTTCCACACAAAATCCCACCTGCAAAGGGATTTGGCACCATCTCTCCCTATGTGCACTCTACAATCCCAGAGTACCCCCCACCCTTCTATACGGAGCACGGCTTGGCCACAATCTACTCCCCCTACCTCCTTGCTGGAAACACACCTGAGTGTGATGCCACCCTATTGTCCGTCTATGGGCCCCAAGACCAAAGACACTTCCTGCCTCACCCCGGGCCACTCCCCAAGCACTTGGCCCCATCTCCATCAGCATATGACCATTACAGGCTGCTCCCACAGTTCCACGCCAATCTGCCCCTGCCTTACAGCTTTTACAGACCTGAGTCAGCATTTACCTCCTACCTCAGGCTCCCACCTGTGGCAGGCATAGCGCGGGACCAAAGCTCTCGGCTGCTAGAGGATGGTGCCCTGGTCTACCCGGCCTCAAGTCCCTCTGAGTTAAACCCTTCCACCTCCCACAGGAAGCACACAGAGTTTGAGAAAAGAAGTCCAACTCCTGAGGCTAAGGACCCTTCCAAAGACACGGAAGGGGCCAAAATGAGCCCCCGTGCAGGCAGCGCAGCCACAGGCTCTCCAGGAAGACCAAGCCCCACCAACTTCACACAGACCAGCCAGACATGTGAAGGTCTGTGTGACCTCTCAAACAAAGCAGCTTCGGACACTCCCGGACGGCTCCAGCAGCCCAAACAAAGCGCCACAGCCTTCAAGCCTGTCCAGAAAAACACAGAACACCCTGGTTCCCAGCCCCCTGTAAACACAGCAGAGTCTCCCAAAAGGTAAGGATATTTCATTTTCAAACCCTTCAATGTAATGTTTTTGGTTGTGTTCAACCAGCCACATTCACATTTGTTCAAACTGCTTTAGTGAACACTGTCCTAAGCACACTCTCACCAACCCTCTCCACCCCTTCCCAGTCTCCAGGTTGAAGACAGAGCTCCTCCAGCACAGACAGGAGGTGCCACGCCCATCCTTGAGGCCCCACCCTCTAGCCCTGAGGATGGCTCTGCGATCCACCCCCTCAACCTCTCCAAGAAGCTGGAGACAAACCCTTCTGCTGCTCACTCACCAAAGTACACAGGCAGCACCCCAGTGGGCCTGGACTTCTCTGAGCCTCAGGACCTGCCCCTCAACCTCTCTGTGAAGGATGCCTGCCTCTCTCGAGGCCTGCAGCCCACTGCTCCCAGCTCACTGCAGGGTGTAGAACCCGCTACTGTTGCTCCAAAGACTGAGACAAAAGGTTCTGGAGATGGGCCAGGCCAGGCTGACACAAAGGACGATGAGGCCCCCTGTGGGAAAGCCCCAGACACACATGTGGTGGACAGTGGTGATGAGCAGAAGCAGACGGCAGCTGTGGCCCTCTGTCAGCTGGCGGCCTTCAGCCCCGGGAATGTCCGGGCAGGTGACGGAGAGCCTACTGCCCAGGAGTCTGCCTGCCAGGACATATCCACACCCAGTCCCAAGGAGAGCCAGGGGGCTCAATGCGACCTCAGGCCCAAAGGACAAAAGAGGACAAGTCAAAGGGACGCAGGGAAATCCCAGCCAGGAGCTAAGAAAATGAAGCCGAGTGACACGGCAGCACGAGTGTTTACCCTGCGCAGAAGGACCCGAGTATCATAAGGCCTGGCCCCAAGCTGCTCACAGCTGCAGGGGCCCTCCCTCTGCATGCTTTCCCTGCACGCTCCCCAGGCAGCTTCTTCCTTCTCCTTACCAAAAAGTCAGTTCTGTCCAATTTTTGCCAATCTTCAGCTGAATGTGAAAGCTGAACTGAACACCAGTGCCACATGCAGGGCCACAGGGACCTCAAGGTGGGGCCCACAGGTGCCAGGGTCTCTCACAAACACCTCTTTCACAAGTATGTTAGCACTAGAGTAAACTATTTTAATTGTTTTTCTATTACAACTAGCTATGTGTTTTGAAGTAAATAACAATTACTGGAACAATACCAGGAAGATACATTTTCAGTACTAGCATTCAAGTGCTGCATGTAAAAATGTTGTGATTTGTTGTGACTAAAAGATAAACATCAAGAGGCTATTTATACAAATAATTTATTTCCACAACAATGGTACACTATTGGTAACAGTACAATCGACTTATTCCATCCATGTGCTTATAATACTGAAGGGAATTTTCTAACCTGTTCAGCCTCATTTTCCACTCCTTAAATGTATACATTATCAATTTTCCAATAAACTCATAAACTTTAACAACACATAAGATGAAGACAAGTGTTAAATTCTGTGGTGCCCTTTGAAATACTGTACATAACACTCAGCAAAAAAGAGCTGGCAGCAGAGGCAGCACTGAGCTCAAGGAGCCTGTCTTGGACACGTGGGCAGGGTGGGCAGCAGGAGGTGGGAACAGAGAATCCCCACCCATCCCTGGAGCTGCTCAAAGACCATCAGGTCTGTGGGCCACAGGGCACGAGGAGAGTGTAAACCTCAGGGCAACCTGGAAAAGCCTTCCCTCCTGACTCCTTAACAGGCCTGCCCTCACTCTGAGGAGACAAACCTCACCTGAGTCTCACAGGCAAGAGCTGAGCTTCAAGCGCCTGTACAGGCACCAGAGGACCCTCTACAGTGGGGCTAGGTGCACTGTGGCCTACCAGCTTCTTAGGTACCAAGAAGCTGTCTACTGTAGAGCGCAGGCTGCCAGGAGAAACAGCAACGTCCAAGCCACAGCACCAGGTATGACAAGGATGCTGTCCTATCTACCTCTTGATGTGAATGAGGCTCAAGCAAGGTAGATGCAGAGCCAAGCCCAATTCTGGGCAACAGCATGACTCACCAAAGATGCCACCTTGTTAAAACCTATGAGTCAGGGGCTGGGGATTTAGCTCAGTGGCATAAGCACCTGCCTTGAAGCAGGCAGTCATGAGTTCGATCCCCAGTACCAATAAAAAGGAAAAAGACAAAAAAAAAAAAAACCTATGAGTCAGCAAGACAATGCTTAGGGTTGCTCTGGTCAACCACACACAGGAACAATCTTTTTCCAGTTTTTTTAATTCACTATTTTAATTCATACATGAAAATAGTTATACATCTTAACATGACATTTGATGCTAATCTTTAAACCTCAAATTAAAAAACATTTGAGTAACTAGCACCTCACAGCCAAAGAGATGAAACAACTATAGCTCTTACATGTTTCTCTCTGGAACTGACTAGTCAGCCACAAGGGGCTCTGCTCCTGCAGCCTCAGCACAGGTTCTCTGGGAAGAGGTGGACAGATGAAAGAGTAAATATACTGTAAAGAAATACACGTCCCAGAAACCTGTGAGGCCTAGACACCTTGCACATACATGAAGGGAGACAATGGAAATTTACTTCATGAAAAGCTTCAGGGAAAAACACTATGCTTCAACACAAGTTACATTTATATAAAACTTCAGTACCAACTTATAAGAGATGTGAGAGTCTCACAATTCTTCTAAGGAATACCTGAGCCTGTAGCTGCAAACTGACCCTAAAGATACAGTAAGGATTACCCCATAGGGGTGCCCTATGGTCCTGTCCTTGGGGATGCAGGAGGCCCTATGATTGAGTGCTTAAGGGGGCAAGTGAACTCTGTGGTCTTGTCCTTGGGGATGGCAGGGATCCTGTGGCCCTTTCTACTGTTGGGCCCTGAGAGACTATCCTTGGGTGCTGAGGACCAGGGCGCTCTCTCGCACTGACAGCCATGGACCACATACCCCTCTGTAAGTGCTGGGTCTCCAACCTGTATGACAGCTCCCAAGCTCTCCAGGTGTTGGCATCTTGAATGACAACCAATGGGACTAAGGCAGACCTGACAATCTGGAGGTGCTCCACCCTGCACCTCAGCATGCCATCACCATGTGACCTGCCCATGAAGGCTGCCCAGGGCAACTTCCCAGTGGCCCTCCAGGAATAGACCATCACCACCAGATAAGCCTCCTTAAAACAAAGCAGAACCTTCGAATAAGAAAATAGCCTTACTAATTTCTTACCCACCCTGCCTGTCTGCACCCATTGATAACCTGACTTGGAAACTAAATTTCTAACTTTTACACAAAAAAGGTGATAAGCTTTCAAAAGATCACACAAACCACCCAGTGCCAGCCATACCACTGTGTCACCCAGTGTGTCACCCAGTGTGTCATACCAGTGTGTTACCTAGGGAACAGCCAGCATCTCAGACTAGCACATGTGCCTCCGTGCCCACTGCAGCAAATCCCAGCAGCACAGGGGCAGCTGCAGCACCTGCAACAGCAGGTACATAGAACAAGGTAGTTCTCTGGACAGCCGTCCTCACACGAGAAGGACACTGCTCTTCATACCACAACACAAAACTACGCTTGGTGAAACAAGCTGGTCCTAAAAGGCCCAACACCAGAGACTCACTGCTTACATGAGGTCCCTAGAAACGAGAAATGCACAGAGGCACAGGGTGGACCACAGCAGCTGAGACTTGGTCTGTTTAGGGTGATGACAGCTCTGAAACCAGACAGAGGCAATGGCTGTATAACAGTGAGCATAATGCCACATAGGAATATGCGTAAAAATAATTTAAATGCCAAATTTTTAAATTTTATATATTCTTACCACAATTTAGGAAAAAAAATAAAGCAATATATCAAAACCCATAACTACGGGGCTGGGGAAAAAAAAAAAACCCATCACTAATCTTAAACTTTAAATGAAGAATTGTTCGGTAAACTATATCAGGCTGCAAAAAAAGCAAAGCATCCCTCAATTCACACTTTTAGAAGGCACAGTCAGTACCCACTCTGCAAAGCTTTCTGCAATCTGTCCCCTACATGCTCACCCAAAGCACATGGAGAGCCATCAGGTCACCAACAAAGTCAAAGACTCAAGGTAATGGGTTCCACTTTCTTACAAACAGGGAAGCGAACAGCTCAAAACCCCACAGAGGCTAAAAACCAAACTCTGGATACAAGGGCTGTCCAGGTCCTTTCAAGCCCACTCACTTGGAACTGAGGTGCCAGGCCTGTGGTGGAGGGTCAGAACAGGAGGGTCTCACACCACAGTCAGGACAGTCAGTAAAAGGACTGACACAGCCAGACTCAGTACCGGGTGTGGGCACACTCCCGCAGTGGAAATGAGAGAGCCATCACATCAGTGCAGCCCCGCTTGGGAGACGCGGGCTTCCCTGCCGCTGACTCTGGCTTAGGGATGCTCCCCAAAGCCCTGCCAAACTCTCTTCCCAGACACACAGCTTCCAAGATCCTCCAGCCTGCTACCCACAACACACCTATGAAACCAGATAGGGCCCTCCAGCCTTCAGCTTCTCTCACCTCTCTGCTGGCACTTCCCTGAGGAAATTCTCCCAGGTGTAATCCTGTCAAAAGACCAGGAGGACACTGCAGCTCCATCCACATGCACCTTATTCAATAGTCATGGAACAGGGCACAGCAGTTCCATAACCTGAACCTCCACCAAAAAAACACCAGGCTCCCAGGACCAACTTTTATGAAGCCCCATATTCTAACCTAAACTTCAAGCAGCTCAGAGAACACTCTCTGTGGCGAAAGACGCTGGTGCATGGCAGCACTTTGGGACATCTCTGTAAAGTGCTGAGACTCGGAGCTGACTTCTATGACCAAACACATAGCACCCAGTTTCCACCAAGGCAGTACTATGGCCACAGCCTCAATGCACACAGCGCCAATCCCTGTGACATCTTGGAGTTCTCATAATATGATATTCAAAATGTTCTCCTTTCATTAAAAACAAAAACAAAAACAAAACAAAACTACAAGGCAGCCAAAGGAACATAAAAGTGCACTCATTCACAGGAAAACAGGAACAAAAATCACCCCACAGGAAAGCCAAACATTGGACTTCCCAGATAAAGCTTCAAATCAACCGCCTTAAAATATGCTCAAGGAGCTAAGGGACAACATCTGGGAAAGTACAGAATATCAATAAAGGGACAGAAGTGATGACAAAAGAGACGAAACAGACACTAAGGAGCTGAAAAGCCAACAGCTGAGGTGAAAAGTTTACCTACAGGGGTTTGATAGCCAGAGTTGTTCAGGCAGAAGAAATAATCAGTGAACTTAAGGATAGGACAACTAAAATTAGCCATGTGAGGAGCCAAAAAGGAAAAGCTAAAGGAAGTTTACAGAACTTAACAGAAACCAGTGATTCAGATTCTAGGGGAGAGGAGAACCAGAGCCAGGAAGAATACCTGAAGAAGTAGCCCTCAGGTTGATGAAAGACAGGGAGACAGATATATAGCCAGGAAACCTGAATCAGCAATAAACGCTAATCTTCAAATTAACAGGCAATCAATAGGCACATGGTACAGCACACAGGCAGTGTGGGAAGGGGACTGTGGGCATAGACAACATGAGCAAAATTCCTTCATCCGGAAAAAAAAAAAAAAAACACGTTCCTTTCCTGATCATCCTCTACTGGGCAGGGCTGTCTTTTTGGAAGCTGAGAAAAAGAACCCAAATAGTCTTCCAAAAGGACAACCATAGAAACCTTCTGGAGTCACTTCTTTCCTCTTCCACTGCCTGTGTCCTGCAGGCAAGACACAAGCCCATGTGAAAGTTGCCACAGCCACTGACACTCATCCACATCCTCTTAGGACACAAACTCACATACTGGTAGCATCACATCAATACCCAGCTCACAGGCCATGTCCTCTGGGGCATAAACCTGCATGCTGGTGACCGTCAGGGGGATAGTCCCCCTGATCCGTGCCCCGATCACATCTTGTGAGATGGAAACCTGCATAACATAAAAACTGTCAGGCTAGCAACAATTGTCCTCCTAGACCATGTCCCTAGGACAACACCCCACATGCTGGTGGCCATCACGCTACCAACACCTATCTCCCTAGGCCACATCTTACCAGCATCCTCCACAGTGACAGAAAGCTACCTGCAGCCCCCTGACCAAAGGAATACAAAATTGCACGCAGCACAACCGCCCTCCAGGGCCTGAAACAGGAACACAGAAAAGTATAACGTACAATGCAGAAGCACGTGAGTGTCAGCACCACTCCTGCCACAACCACCCGAGAGAGAGCTCGCCCCTTGGCATGTTTGCCCAGGCTCCCCCTGACACAGGGTGAGGGCAGCAGGGGACTCTGCTCACAGGGAGGGCAGTGGCCCACAGGAAGGTCATGGGCTGATTTACCCTGTGTCAGGTTTCACAGCTCAAACAGCAGGATCGTGCTATCCAGTTATAACACCAGCACTCACACCCTTTCACTCCAGCTGCTTGGGGTCAGTGACACCAGCTGATTCCAGAGACAGAAGTGTGTGCTAGGAAGGAAGACCTAGTGGGCAGCATGGCCTGCACAGCAGAAGCCCTTGCTAAATCACGTTTCAGGCACACCCACCACTGATCCTCTGGCTGAACTGTGTACAGAGAGCCAGCTGGGGACATGAGCCAAACTGGAGCTAATGGGACAAAATTCAATAGCTGCCACAATGGCTGCAAAATCATCCTCCTGTCTGAAGGCAGTGCACGGTCCTTTCTCAGAGGATGTGTCACCTTCACCCACAACAATCACAACTCCAGCAGACAAAAGGCAAAGTTAAAGCTGCAAAAACAGCTACCATCCACTGACCCTCAGAGCATGTTTTTGGACTGCCTCATTGGTCATCAGGCAAGCAAACGGGAAGCATAGTGAGGTGACATGTCACACTCACAAAGATAGCTGATACTCTTTTTAAAAAGATAAAAGCTAGAGGTCTCCCATATAGCTGGCGGGAACTTGGAACACAACAGTCGCTCTAGAAAAGGCTGGAAGCTCTGAGACTGACCCAGAAATTCCATTCCTAGGTCTATACCCAAGAGAACACAAGATATGCGTCCACATAAAAACCTGTAACACGAAGGTTCCCAACAGCACTGTCTGTAACAGCCAGCGGTGGAGAAGGCCAACCACCACCACCACTCAGCAATGAAAAGCAATGAGGCACTGACATGCTACAACGTAGGTGAACATCAGGAACATTGTACTAGGGAAAAGAACTCAGATGCATCTATGCATACAGCAAATTTGTGTAAACGAAACATCGAGACAAGGCAAAACACTGTGTACAGTGTCAGAAAATGCACCAGTGGCTGCTCCGGGTGGGACAGGGTGCTCCAGGACAGGTTTCTGCTTGCAACAGTGAAGATGCTATGCAATCATGAGCCAGTGAAGCTGCTGAGCTCTAACTTGTGAAAGACCACTTGGTTACGGGGGTCAGTGGGTAAACTTAGGGTACCTAAGTTATCTAAATAAAGCAGATTCTTAAAAAGCAAAAATATTGGGGCTGGGGATTTAGCTCAGCAGCATAAGCACCTGCCTTGCAAGCAGGCAGTCGTGAGTTCGATCCTGGGTACTGATAAAAATGAGAAAGACAAAAAAAAAAAAAAAAAGCAAAAATATTAATTCAGGCTCTACAAGATCTTCCATGCCTCCCTGGTACACAGCCTGGTGCAGATTCCACATTGCTAGGCATCTCTCCTCCAGACATAAGCCACTTCTTAGTGCACAGCACCTGTGGGGCACACTCAGGCAATGTCCTCTCTCTCCCTGAAAACTTTATCCCTTCCAGTCATGTGACGGCCCATCTCTACTACCATGTGACCACAGCCCCAGTCTGACAGCTGGCCTCGGTTCACAAGCCCTTAGTGTGTCTAGCAGCCCTGTCTGTCCTCAGGCCCCAAATTCAGCACCAGAGTGCCCTGCAAAGTTTCCCCAACCCTTCACCCCAATTCCCTCTACACTCTACACTGGCTCAAGCCTCACCACCTGGGGGCCACAGTCACTGCAGGTGACATAAGACAGACACCAACCCAGGGCAGAAACTGTGGGGACACCAGGTGTGCAGTCACAGGAGCCCTTGTCAGCAACAGGTACCTAGAGCAAGTTCTCAGGGCAAAGAAATCAGAGCTCAGCAGGGTCTGTGCTCTCCACATGCAAGCAGTACATGGGCTCTATGCATCCCATTGAGACCAACAGGAGGAGGCAGAGAGGCTACATGTGCAACCCATGCATCCCAGTCAGCCACCAGAGAGATGGCTCCAGTGAGGACCCTGCCATACCACAGTGGTCACTGCACCTCATTACTTACCCTCCGGGAGTCGTGAAGGAAGCAACAGGCCTCGTCTGCCCAGTTCCGCCAGTGCCAGACATCCACCATGCCACGCCTTGTCGGTTTCCTGAAAACTGAGAAAAGAGTTCTGATGTCAGCTCTTGATCCCAAGCCCAGACTCAGGTAAGAAACACAGGCTGTATAACCCTGAGCCTTGAGGAGAGCCTTGAGCCTTGAGGAGCCTTCCTGACTGAAGAAGTAAAACATCCTAATTCAATACACAGACAGCTACCGGGTCACAAAATTACTGTCATGAAGACAGCGCTCTTCGAATCTCCCCATAATGGAGAGACTCGAGACCCATACCCAGAGTCAGCCCACCGCCCAGGTCACATGGACAGGGCCCCCAATCACAATGCTTCAGCCACCCTGCACACTGGCCACGGACTGGAGCCATCACAAGTTGACACTTCAAAGCCAAGGCTTCACAGAGATCCCATCCAGTTCCCACAATGGCAACAAACTGAGGGCAGTAGGCCTCCTTTCAATGCCACCCCACTGTTTACTTGAGTCACCAAATTCAAGGTTAAAAAAAAAATCGGAATAAACAGCACTTGCACTTTTTTTTTTTTTTTTTTGCACTATTTGAAATATAGATTTTTTTTTCCTTCTAAGAGATAAGGCCGTACTATGCTGGCAGACGGGCCCTAAACTCCTATGCTCAAGAAATCCTCCTACCTCAGCCTACCAGAATGCTCGAATTACAAGCATGGGCCATTTGGTCTAGTAATAAATGGACTTTTAATGACTACTTATAATATGCCAATTAATTACACCAGAAGTAATATTTAATGTTTAATAAAAATATCTCTGAAGCAGCTCCAAAGCCTTAGTTGCGGTGTAGCCCGTCATCACTAGTGTGAATAACTGCTTCTCGGGTTGCTCTCAAGTTTCTATACTCTGCTGCCAATATAAATATGAAAGTGCACATCACCAAAAAGCAAGACTTTCACCAATTCTGATCAAATTAATTTGACAGCAGAGGCCTGCATCACTAGCAGTAGCAAGCACAAGGCTGCTAGGATAAGAGAGGGCACAAGGACATCAAGCTGGGGCCTCCCTGAGCCACAGGCACCTCCAGTGAGGGTGACTCAAACACAACTCTTTCAGGGGAGTTGGAGGAGTGACGGGGACGGCACCAGGGCCTTCACACTGAGCTCCAGGTCCAGTCCCTGTGTATTTTTTATTCTGATACAGTCTCATGAAGTTGCCAAGCTGTGCAGACCAGGCTTGAGCTTTTGATCGTGCCTCAGGCTCCCGGAGTGCTGGGATTACAGGTGTGCATCATCATGCCCAGCTCAAGCCGAACTTTATTCATTTCCATATATTCTACTAAAATCTGCCCAAAGGTAACATTACCATTTCCAAAACTAGCATCTGCACTCTATGTCCCTTTTCATAAAGATTAACAACTGAGTGAACTTAATATTGACACTAAGATGACTCAAATACACAACAGCCAAGGTCTGTCACACCTATGTCTACCTCTAAACTAAACGTGTATCCACCATGGTTCCCCCTAGGCTGGCCTGAGAAGAGACCAGTCTTCGGATGCCAGGGAGCAGGGCAGACATTAGCCAAGTGCTGAACCTGAACTCCCACTTCAGACCTGACAGCAGGGCAAGGCAGGAATACACAGAGACCAGATAAGTGCTTGGAGGCCAGGAGACATGGAAGGCAGAGGCCTCTACTGGAACCTGAAGGAGAGCCCTGCCTGCACTATGGCCTGTGTGCTGCTCTGAGCTGAAGGAGGAGGAGGGATCCAGAGCAAGAAGTCCACTCCTGCCCTCAGAAGAGAGGCACAAAAATGCGATTCACAAACCAAAATAACATGACAGATGAGAAGCATTAGAAGATTAAAGTACTCAGGACGACTGACACTATGCAAGACTGCGAGCCAGTAGAAGAACACATGGAGGAGCAGCGCACCCCAGCATGCTGAGAGCCCCATGAAGAACAGCTCCAGGAAAGGCTGGGTAATCAACAGTTTTCAAACCAGAGGGAAGCCAGTGTGGTGGCGCATGCCTAAAATCCCAGTATTTGGCAGGCTGCAGCAGGAAGATCACTGTGAACCCCAGGCCAGCCTGGACTACATAGTGAGTTTAAAGCCTGGCTCAATTCCAGATTGAGACCCTATCTCGAATAAATAAATAATAGTAATAATAAAACACAGAGGGAACATGCAGAACACCACAGGGAAGGAAAGAGCAACAAAAGCCCCTCAAATGAATGGCCACTCCAGCTGGGCAAGGAATGACAGCTAAGGATGGAGGACCCATCCTGTTCATGCCACCCAAGGCCACCCCCCTATTACTCTGCTCTCTTGAAGAACAGGAAGCCTAGGCTGCTCATCAACCAGCACCCAAAGAACACAGGAACAGGGCTACTTGGGTGTGCTGGAGAGAACTCTCAAGGGTCAGCATGGAACAAGCCTGCAGATCGAAAGAAGACAAACTCTACACTCTCCAGCCCACGCACTCCATAAGGCAACCCAGCAAGCAGCATGTGCCTTCCACTCCATGCAGCATTATAGCAGAAGATGACCAGCCTGTGACAGATCATTCCACACAGTCCAAGGCTGTCACTGAGCTGCCCGGGGCTAAGTATAGGACAGCGCTGCTCTGGCAGGAATATGGCAGGGCTACTAGCAGAGCACCTCTGGTCACTGACATCACGCTGAACACCAAAGTGCTGACAGCACACTTTCAAGACGCAGAGTTCCAGCTACACAGTGACAGGCCCAATAACAATGCCAGCTGTGGAGGGCCAGCAAAATGCAGGGCTCGAAACAAAGAAGTGCCCCTTTCTCAGTCCCTGCCTCTGACACCCAGACCCAGATGCCACAGAATGTCAGCCCACAGAAAGGAATCAAGATCAACTCCTCTCAGATACACAATGTAGATCTGCAGCCCAGGCTCCCCCCACCCACATTACTATCCCCACCATCTGAAGAATTCCCTGAGTACCAAATTTATACTTAAATTCATTAACATTCATTCCAACTTCAAATTCAGGCCTCAGTTGCAACAGCCACCTGGGACCACCTGGGGCAGATACGAAATGTGCCGCACTCCCAGGAGCTCCATGGACAGTGCAGGCAACCACCACAACCCGAAGGGAGACCGCAGAGCAGACTCACTACTTCCTGACCTGTAGCGCACTGGCTTTCACCACTGTACACAGAAGGCTTCAGTCCCACAACAATACACTGAAAAGTAATGTAACCAGAACAAAGACAGGAGCTTCTACCAAGTGGCCAGGAGGGAAGACTACATAACAGGACAAGGGGAGAGGAGCCTCCACTGCAAACAAAGAAAAGCACCCACCTGAGGCAGTCCAGCACAGATCCAACCACATCATCGGCCAGCTCTTGGGGAAGCCGCCCAGCCATCCTGCCAATTCTGGGGAGAAAAGTGACAGCTTTCAGGCCAGCAGCCTGGCGTAGGACACATGCTAGATGGCCAAGATAGGAGGGAAGCTGCCACCATCACTAATCATGACACAGATGGGCCCACCCATGGACACATGAATGCTGAGGCCATCACCAGGACCAGCCAATGGCAGCAGGACACATGCTGAGGGCTTCCATCCAGGCCTTCCCCTGCTAGACTACCAACTCCCACATGGAATATTAGCCCTGCGGGAAAGAGGCCAAGTTTGGAGACCTGAAGAGGGTCCTCTTGCCAGCCTAGTATTGGGGCCCACACTCAGCTGCTAACACTGAGTGCAGACCTAACCCTAACCCTAACCCAAGGCTAATTACAGAGTCAGGAAGCCCAGGGAACCTATGGGCCACCTGCCAGGCCCTCATCCAATCCAAACAGCACTCATCCTGCATGGACTCTGCCTCTCCACAGCCCAACACCCCCGGGAAGCAAAAACTTCACTCTCAGTAAGCACCCCACAAGTTTATAAAACTGGTAAGATATTTGATGTTCTCAACCCCCATATAGTCTTTCATGGCTGACAGGGACACCCCAGCCCCGTCACCCACTCCCCAGCACCTACCCTTTGGCCGCAGACCAGCGTACCACCGTGTCTCTGTCCTTCAGCCCACCCAGCAGCTGCTCTGCAAAAGGAGGACAATAGCCATTAGCCTGGTTGAGTCTTAATGCTCTGTGAAAATGCCTCCTATCCCACATAGTGCTCCAACAAATACCCTGAAGAGAGCTATGCTGAGAATCTTATCTTCCTCAAGAAAACAAGAAAAGAGCAGCTCTGTCCCGTGTTTTGCTGTTGTTGTTTTCTGGGGTTGTTTTTTGTTTTTTGGTACCAGGGATCAAACTCGCAACCTTGTGCTTGCCAGGCAGGCACTTATGCCGCTGAGCTAAATCCCCAGCCTGTCCCCATGTTTTTAAACAACACAGCCCATCTTCACCGCTGTTCCTAACACAGATCAGCCTAGCAGAGGGCCACCAGCAAACAGTGGCCTCCACATGGAAGGTCAAGGGCTAAAGCCTCCCAGGCCACAAAAGAGAGGCCATGGGGAATAGGCCAGCTATAAGGGACCCCTGAGGAAACCAACTGCCAGGCTCCATGAAGCCAGCCCCTCCCCTAGGCTGGTGGGAAGTAGTCTGGCATCAGCAGGGCCCAGGGCCCTTGGCCAGAGGGCCACAGGCAGCCCCAACCACTCTGACCAGGAGAAAAAAAGAGTAAAGGAGTGCCAGGCAGTCAGAAGGCACTCTGCCTGAGACACAGTCATCCAGGAGAAGGAAAAGGTTAAAGGCATCAGGGTGAAGAGAAGGAGAAGGCTTGAAGACCTGCAGCACTCTGCAGAGCTGCCATGGTGGCCGAGGTGTAGACAACACTGAGAACCCACCCCAAAGGAGGCCAAGTGGGTATGAGCAGAGGAGACAAGCAGGAATCAGCTGCTCACCACCAAGGGAGTCCCTACAAGGGGGTGCCTACAAGGAAGGGGAGGAAGCGGGCCAGGAGGGAGAGTGGCAAGAGCAGGAAAGGTCAGCCACAGACAGGGACATGCAGCTTCCATGGTGATGACAGCCAGTGGGTCAAGACCTCTACAAAGATGGGGGTGAAGAGGTTGGAAGTGTCCCTCAGCAAATTGTGGGAAACAGACTGGGAAAGGACTAGGGATCTGAGCCTGAGTCCATGCCTCAGTGGATGTCCACTTCCCCAGACATCCAAGGTGAGGACTGCGCAAGTCATGCCTGGGGAGAAGGGGCTGTTGGAAGGGAGCGCCATAGAAGGGACAGAATGGCAATGCTATAGTGACCACAGGTTCAATGTCAGGTGGTGCAGGCACTAGGCAGGAAAGGGACAGTGGCCTAGAGAGTTGAAGATATGGAGTGTGCACAAAGCCTGCCACTGCCCACCTACCTATGACGCTTTCCACCCCTTCTGGAACATCATAGTCCTCGTCTCTGTCAGAGGTCGCCACAGGCAGCTTCTGCTCACTCTGAGACGGGGCACTGAGCTGCAGGTTAGCAGCCAGGGATCGGGAACCACGCTGATACCTGTGTAGAGCACAGCACACTCAGACCAGCACATACAGAACCTGTGAGTCCAAATTCTGGAGAAGAGATCTGCACTTCAGCATCACTCTGTATCACAAAGGATCCTGTGACGATTCCATGTACTCCCAGGAGACAGGGAGACTCCTGCACACAGCAACCCAATTCTCACCCAGCAGGGCTAGCATCCCCTCCCAGGTGTGCATGTAGGGCTCCCCTATACACCTGCATGGCCACACAGCTCCACACAGTCTGTAAGGCAGGAGAGCCACTGAGAGCACACAGACCACAGGCAGGGCAGGGCCAGTAATGTCCCTGTGTTCCTGAAGACAGCACAGCCAGCCGTGCCCTTAGCACTTGTAACATTACTTCGGGGTGTCTGGACAAAGTAGATAGCACAGTGCAGGAGCCACTAAGTAGGCCTTGGTCAGTCAGTTGAAGACTTGTGTGAAGTAAGACTAACGATCTGGACAGGAAGAGGGAGTTCTCCCACCCATCGTGCCTCCAGCCTGCCACGCTACTGCACACCTTGAGTCTCACCCACTTCCAAAGCCACAGAAGTCAGTTGTGTGCCCCTGTGTGTGTGCACCCGCATACCATGCTGGTCTGCTTCTCTCGAGCACCCTGCCTCAGTTGTGAACCACTTTCCACGGCAGTCTGAAAGTCAGGCACTAACAATCCATCTAACCAACCATGTCTCACAGAGGAGCTGTGGGCTCAATGCCTGAAAAGTGTTTCAATAACATGTCACTAAATTATAACACACTTCTCCAGAATTTGGAACAAAAGGCAGATGAACTTAATTCAATAACTCCCTCCTCAAGCTGAGGGTTTAGCTCAGCGGTGTAAGTGCCTGCTTGGCAAACTCAGAGTCGTGAGTTCAATCCCCAGCACCGAAAAGAAACAAAAAATCAAAAAAAATTCCCTGCATACACATCACTTCTTAAAATAAAACAGAAGGCTACAAGGAACACAGCACCCCACAAACGTGACAGAAGTGTGTGTCAACAGCAGAACCTCAACGTCAATCTGCTAACGAAAGCAAACATCTAGGGCGTGAGGACCTCACTTCCTTCAACAAGCAAAGGTGCTTCCTTTCCCAAACAAACCTGAAAAAGTGAGCCCAGTTTTCTCTGCGATCACACTGATGGCTGATGGGAAAGAACCACCCCTGACTGCAGCCCTAACAAGCAACCCCAGACTGTATCAGAGCAGCACGTCCACTGTAAGGAGGAAGCGCAGCCTCAGGAAGCGCGGCCAGAAAGCACCCAAAGGAAAAATGTTCCTTTCAAAACCAGAAACACTTCAAGAGATCACAGAAGTGAATGGAGAAGACACATTTACAGATCAGCCTGAGCACCATGAGCACCCAAGACCGATGCCAACAGCACCTACCCACCTCCAGGCAGCTACCTTTGGCTTCAGGAAGGTCAGCCCCAGTCGCTGCACCAGCTTCATGCCCAGCTTTCGCAGCAGAGTCTGGTTGCTCTCAGGGAGCCTGCAGTTGTCCAGGCACTGGAGCACGACAGTGGCTGTAGGGAAAGCACATTGCTCAGCATGACAGGAAGGCCCCACTCACATGTGCAGCTGATGCCTGCCACTCTGAGGCCAGCTGACCCCACAGGTCGTGGGCAGGGGCCAGCTGTCCCAATCCCTCACCCCAAGTCCCCTCTCCCCAGGTCACATGCCAAGAAAGAGCAGCTGGACTAGACCCAGCCAATATCCTCACTAGGCAGCACCCACTGGGGAGGCCCAGAGCACTGGAGCCATCCTATGGCAACTGTTATGGCTTGTGGGTAGATGCCCCTCCAAGCCTATGAAGTCACACGAGGGGCTTTTCCAGATGTGGCTGGATTTAGAGTGTGGACCTGATTTGGGGTACAATGCTAGGATTGAGAACACTAGGAATAAGGGTGTGAGTGCTGCCCACCCTGAGTGGCCTGGATAAGAGATAAGGGATAGAAAGAGCTGTGGCTGCCCCTTGATGCTTCGCTACCTTCTATCTGCCATGACCTGTTTCTCTAACCCTAACCCTAACCCTAACCCTATCTGCCATGCCACTCCGCCTTTGAGCCAGCTGATTATGGACTAAAGCCTCTACAAACTGTGAGCCAAATAAACTTTTTCCTCCCTAACTTGTGAATATTGGGTATTTTGTCTCAGCAACTAGGAAAGTTTTAAGATAGAGGTCGCTGTGAAGGCCTGAGGGACGGAGACAAAACAGGGGCCTTGCAGTGGGCTGGGACTTCTGAGCACATTCTGCCTGCCAAGGCCCTTAAGGCAGCACATAGGGATGGTAACCAAAGTGATCCAGATACTGGGTCCAAGGGGTACTATAGCCAGAGTCTCACACAGGAGGCTGGGACCCATGATGTACAGGTAGCTAGGGAGAAGCAAAGGCAGAAGACTGCCAGGCAGCACCCAGTGGAAAGATAAGAAAACATAAGACAGGAACAAGGGACTCGATTTCAGAGACGGGCTTGAGGGAAATGGATGAGACTGATCAACTACACTAGGAAGCAGAAGACAGAAGAGAGGCTGGAATAGGGTCAAGCACCTGGACAAGGAGAGGAGGAAAAGGTGATGAGGCAGACAGGAGTGGGGAAAGGCACAGGGACGAGGGACTGATAACAGGGACAGATGATGTGACTAAGTATGGCAACTGGAGGAACAAGATTTTCAGGTAGCCAACAGTGACTTTAGGGCCACAGCTGCCAAGACCAGAGCCCACCAAGATTGAAACAGGGTGGTCAAGATCCATCTGCTGTGCAAGGCCCCTCACAAACAACTGCGTGTCAAACGACTGGGAGGGTTCACTGAAAATTACAGCATTAAACACAAAACCAACAACGTCACCATGACAGCACCCACACACCCCAAGCAAATTCTCACACAACAGATAAAAGGTCAAGGAGGCATGCTTGTCACCCACAAGTACATGTCTCAAAAACAAGCCTTACCATAAGGCAGACAGTCTTCACGCTTCCCATGTTTAAATATCTGTGCCTGAGAAGAAAGTATTTTGAAATGTTGTAAGTACATCTAAAAATTTAAAACATAAATAGGCTATCAGAACAACTCATTGCAACTTGTAGAATCTTTACTCAAGCAGGACAGGCAGGAAGTAAGACGCTGTAGTAACAAAGAGGGGTTAAAGAAGCAGGAGCAAGGTCCCCTGACAGCCACCTGATAGCCAGGCACATGGAGCCCAGTGCCCCAAGGGGCCTGGCTCTAACCGCAGTGTCCCCAGAGTGAACCACCCTGCAAGGAAGATGGGAGCCTCAGTGGGCTCCAATTATCAGTGCAGGAGCAAAAATATCTGAGGAGCAAGCACAATGGTACACACCAGTAATCCCAGCTACTCAGAAGGCTGAGGCAGGAAGACAGTGCACTCGATGACAAGATCTCGTCTCAAAATAAAATAAAATAAAATGCACTGGGGAAGTAGCTCAGTGGCAGAGCACTTGCCTACCATGCACAAGGCTCTGGGTTCAACCTCCAGCACCGAAAGAGAACATGGTCAAAAGATAAGAAGTACATATAGGCCATACCACCAAAAGCAGTAGGAGCTTAAGAGTTCCTCCCTCGACTTTTGCCAGCTGCAGTCCTGACTCCCCCACCTGCTCCTGGTGCTTCCTGCTTGGTGCTCCATGACCCTGCCACCCCCCCACACACACATGTAGACCCCACATGCAGCACTGTGGGTGAACCTGGAGTCCATCAATCAAGGAGGAATATTCAGTTTTCACTGAAACTGGTTGCAGCCAGAACCCTGAACCCTCAACCTGAAATCTTAACCCATTTTTGAGGTCAGGATAACACGTGCAGTAAGAACTGAGAATATCACAAAAAGACTAGCAAAATTTCTTTCCTTCGGAAAATAGCTTTAAGAACACAAAGCAGTGAACTGTTTCTATGTTAGGTCATCTGACCCTGAACACAGTCCCTCCCTCCCCGCCCTCCCCCGTCTCTCTCTCTCTCTCTCTCTCTCTCTCTCTCTCTCTCTCTCTCTCTGTCTCACACACACACACACACACACACACACACACACACACACTCAAGAGCCCAAATGCCAACTCCAGGACCTGAAGGTCAAGTATGGGTATTGTCACTGAGAAGCTCCAGTTGCCCAGCAGCCCACGGCTGTGCAGCACCAAAAGAACAGATGACTCAGGGAGTGCAGCCTGGCCCCAAGGCTGGGGCACATCACGCCACATCACAGCTCAGACTGGAGTCCTGTGGTGCTCACTGTGCCAGAGCCCTGAAGCAGGTAGTGCGCTCCAACCTCTACTCATGGGGAGGAACCCGTGGCTGTGACAGAGCCCTTTTATCCGGAATCACTCAGTGAAAACATCTGCACCTGCTGACACTGAGCCCCCCAGCAGAGGTACAGCAACCTCTCACTCTCTCCAGCACCGCCTCCCCACCAGCTCAACCCAAATCCTGAGCCGTCCATTATAGACAAGGAAACTCAGTCCATGCATTTCATCCTACATCCATAGTAGCCCAATGCCACAACCCAGGAGGGACATCCGGCAATGTGCTCAGTGCCAGCAAACAGCAAGACCCCGGATTTTAAATATCACCTTTGAACACTGTGTCATAACCACTACCAAGGCACTCAGATTTATTACCTATGGGATTTGGGCCTATCGGGTAGGTCATCTGGAATTGCTTACTTCTTGTTAATGAATGTGCAGGGTGTCCTGTAAAGGAACCTCAGGGCAAAGGATGGGTCAGGGCAGGTCCTGGAGCACCCACAGTAAATCCGAGAGCTCTGCATCTTCCCACCCTCGCCCCTGCGAACATAGCCAATAGGAGGAAAGGCAGCACCTGGCCTCTGCCCATCTCCCCTGCTTTGACCTCTGAACTGGTCTGGACCGAGACAGGCAAAGAGTGGACAGCATGGCATCACCCAGTCAACCAACCACCCTTGGAGACAGACCATCCCGCCATACACAGAGCTGGCTGGGATGGCAAGGATGAACTCAGTTCAAACCCAGACATGGGGCTCACAGGTGCAAGCACAGAGGCCAGATATTCCCCACTTCAAAACTAAAAGTCAGGCTACCCTGGAATAATTGACTTTCAGCTATGAATCGCTCCACATGAACCACATATCAGAGAACCTCGCCAGCTGCAGCTCAAGCTGGCACTGCAGAGAGGCCACCACTACCTCCCACCTTGGGGCACTTCACGCTGCTCAGGGATGGCACATCCCAGACCTGCACCCTCGATGATGGCCCTTTCCCCTTTCAGGTTATCACTGTCCTCACCCTCTTTCTCAGTCGCCAGCAGGACACAGCCAAGGCCACCTCAAATGACAGCCTACAACTCCAAACTTGAGATTAGCCACAGTACCTACGTTACCAAAATAAAAAAATATTTTGAGGCCGTGGGTTTTCATAAAAACCATCCTATAAACTTTCACAATGATCCTTAAAAACTCCTAGCATAAATAAAAGTACAAATAATCTCATGGTTCAAAAAATAATGGCCTACATACATTTTGCTGAATTTTCCAGAAATTCACCAGGAGTGAGGAGGACGGATGGAGTGAGGTAGGAACACGCTGCTCAGCCACCTCCTAAGCTGCTGAGCACAACTCTGCCCACAAAACCTGAGCCCACTCAGGACAGCCAGGCACACAGGCCACAAATCCCAGGACAGGTAAGGACAGTCTGAAATGAGAACAGAGACTCACACCATGGAACTGAAAGCACCAGCACATGCCCTCCTCTAGAAATCAGAACTGCTAACATGTGGAGAACAACAAAATTTCCTGGCTTTAAACACAAGTCCAAACTGGGCATGGTGGCAAATGCCTATAATCCCAGCACTTGGGAGGTTGAGGCAGGAAGATTGCTGTGAGTCTGAGACCAGCCTGGGCTACAGAGTAAGATTCTGTTTCCAAAAAAAAAATTTTTTTAATTAAAAAAAAAAAAAAAACAGAAGTCCTTAAGATGGTGTAGTGTTATATAGATCGCATGCTAAAGAACTAAGAATCAATGTAATGATTTCAAATAAAATGTTAACAACCCTGGATACACTGATGAACACCTGTAATCACAACTACTTAGGAAACTAAGTCAGGAGTTTGAGGCCAGCCTAGGCAAAAGAAGAAACCCTGTTTTAAAATAAAAACAAGGGTTAGTGATATAGCTCAGTGGTAGAGCACTTGCCAAGGATTCACAAGGCCCTGGTTCAGTTCCTGGTTAGAGACCAGCCGGTGAGGTGGGAAGAACAACACAAATGCATGCATATATAAAATCAGAAATACAGGAGGCTCACAAGAGACCCTGTTGAAAAGCTAATAAAGAAAACAAACCAGACAACTGAAAGGAAATGATCAAATTCCAAGACAGACACAAAGTCAAGATCTCAAAAAGGACATTCTGGGCCTGTATGGCTTCGTTAATAAGTTGTAGTAAATATTTAAGGAAAAAATAATATCAGCCTAAATATACTCTAAGAAAACAGAGGAGGAGACAATTTCCAACTAGTTGTACAAGGCTAGTGTCACACTGATATGGAGCCAAGACTCCAAGAGAAATCTGTAAGTCAATTCCTCTCAAAAAGGCTCCCACAGGCTACTGTGGCTTTCCTCCTGATAGCCAGCCTGTATCCTCCAGACTGTACTTTCAGTTTGCTTTTTCTTCTTCTACTTGGCCCAAGCTCATTTTGCAAAGCCAGTTTCTAGCTCTTCACTTTCACTTTTTCAACTTTTTTTTTCCTGTTTTTGTTTCTGTTGTTGAGACAGGGTCTCACTATGTAGTTCAGGCTGGCCTTGAACTCACAGTGATCCTCCCACCTCAGTCTCCCAAGCACTGGAATTATAGCATGCACCACCATGACCAGCTTCAAATAAACTCTGCCACTGCATTTTGCTCATTCCATTCAATTCTTTGCTCAAGAAGAACCTGGAATCCTACTCAAGAAGGAGAGGTAAGCAACCCAAAACCTGTAGCACTTCACTAGAAAGCCAGTTTCAGAAGGAGCTACCCAGGCGAATTTGGGCAAGCTAGCCAGGAGTGAAGCTCAAGTACCAGGGACCAAGATAAGGTCCGTCTGGGCACAGCTTCTGTTTCTCTCCTTCTCCATCTCACTCTCTCCTCTAAACTAAGAATCCAGAGAGTCTTCTAAGGTGTCAGGGCGAGGACTCCCGGCATGGCTGTGGGGAGGGGGAAGAGAACATAGGCTTTTGCTTTTCCTTCTCGCTACCTGTGCTCACTCCGCAGGTCCTTGTGATCCACACATTTGTTCGCTGTACTTTGCTACTCTTCTTGGAAATTAATCTGGTCTCCACTTACCCAGTTTTGTGAGTGGCTTTTTTTCCCTCAGTTTGCATTTTGGTGTGATACTAGGATTAAGGGTGCCCCACACTGGATATTTCTTTCTCGGTTTATGTAAAGCTGAGATTAAGGGTGAGATGCTAGGATTATGGATGCTCAACCCTTGATGTGGGCAGCACCAATAAATAAGATTAGAGTCTGCATGGAATCCCACAGCTAGACATGGGCTTATTTCAACTGTCCCATCCTTTTATGGCCTTCAAGATAAACCTCTGATTTTGGAGAACAGAGAAGAATCTCTTTCCTTTGTGAATTCTTTTAAATGGCATAGTGGCTTTTCCCCAAATGGAAGAGAAAAATTTGTCCATTTCAAAAGGAAAGGCCAATAGGTGTGGTGGTGCACACCTGCAATTCCAGCACTTAAGAAAGGAAGGAGGATCTCCGCAAGTTCAAGGCCTACTCAGAACTACATGGTGAAACCCCGTTTCAGAATACTAAACACTAAATAAATAAAAAATGAAAGGAAAGGCCTGAGGCAGGGCAATGGATAAGGGGTCTGTTCAAGCCAACTTTAACTGACTCACTTTCTCTCTGTCTCAAATCCTACCTAGAACTAAAGCTTCCTGTCTGGATTTCCTGTGCAGATAATTTAAAATCCTATGCCTGATGACCTGAGCAGAACAAAGAATATTTAAAATTTAATGACAGAGACTG